TCCTTCCTTCCTTCCTTCCTGTATTTCATTTGCTTTCAGATCTAAATCCCTGACTCCAGCCTCTGTCCCAGCTCAGCTGCACCCGCTGGAGCTCTAGGATCTCAATTTTCTCCCAGTCAGTCGGCCAGGGGGTTGTCCTCCAGGTTTCTTGGCACAACCTGGTGAGCACATCCACGGCAACATCTGTTTGTTGAAGTATGTCAATTGGTATGCTATCAATTCCTGGGGCCTTATTTTGACTTGGACTCAAGTAAATGGATTTTTCTTTTTTTTTTTTTCCTCTATCTCCATGCAAGAATCTTCGACAACTGATGTCACTGCACAGTCGAAGAATCAAAATATGCTCCTTCAAATCAGAGTATGATTGCCTTAGTAGTGGGAGCTAAATTGTGGGCAAAACTTGGCTTTTCCATTTATATCTTCAGGTTCAGAGACCTAGTAAGTACATATTAAATAGTTGCTGTGGAAGGGCGCTCCGGTGGCCCCCGTCAGCAGGGTGTTGTGCTGCTGGCCCAAAGGACACGCCTCTCTTGCTGCTCCAACCCTCAACCACTCCTGGGGAGAAAGATAGGCAATCTCCTCTTGTGGAACTTATATCTTAGAAACTGATGGAAGAGTCCATTGTGAATCAGTTCTGACCTCTTGGCAGTGAGTTGTTGTTGTTTGCTGTTTGATGGAAAGAAGAAAGGAAGAGAAGGAGGCGAGGAGAGGGAAGGAGGGAGAGAAAGGAAGGACTTGGAAAGCTCTGGTACCACGTAAAGCTTCCAAGTCATGCTTTGTCTCTGTTGACTATGACTTTGCCACACCAAGCGTGTTGCAAAAGTGCAGAATGCCAAAGGGAAGGCGATCCTAAAAGACCAATTCATTCAATCATACTGTTATGTAAGACACGTAACTGAGGCCCAGGGCATATGTCAATTGTCTGAGGTTACTCAGCAAATTCAGAAAATAATTGAGCTTGAGATTCCTCTCCAGGACTTTCACTAATGCCTCGAAGGTGTTCTTTCACTCTCATTGCATTCCTTCTCTGCACTGGTGGAGGGACACACACTATCCAAGCGACCATTGTTTCCTACCAGGTTCTTCCTTTCTGGATGTTCTATTTTATTTTATTTTTACTTTATTATTTTGTGTGTGTGTGTGTGTACCATCAAATTGGATCTGAATGATACAGGAGGAGATTGCCTCGAACCGCATGTCTCTGGGATTACAGTGCAGCTTCTTACCACTAGGCCACCAGAACTCCCCCTGGATGTTCTATTTTATTTATAACCTAAGATCATGAAATGGGGCCTCTTCTCTCATTACTCCATGCTCTGGATTTAGATCTACATGACTGGCCTTGGTCCACTAATCTCCTTGACCTTAACAAATCTGGCCTTGGCTGGAAGCACTCACTCCCTTTGCAGGAGAATGAACTAGTGTGTCTGCAGCTATTCTGAACAAAAACCTTGACAAATGCTTTCCAAAATATAGATAGTTGACAAAATGTGTTCCTTTTCTCTACTGTTTCTTTCTGTACTTGAACTTTTCTTTTCAAAAAAATCTTTCATTTCTGTGAGTTTCACTGGAAATAAAAACTGTAAACACAGCTCCAAATGCAGTTGTTTTCTCTCCTGTCTTAAACTATTTACAAAGTTTTCAACTGATTGCTACCGTTTCTTACAGTTGAGCATGGAAAATCTTTGGTCTGGCAATGTGCCTTGCTTCCCGAGACTTCAGGCAACGCTGCACAGCCTCCAGGGGAAGGGCCAGCCTGGTCCCCGGTCCCGGAATCAATCCTAATTTCAACAGGAAAATTGTTTAAGATTTCAGGCCAGAGGTTCAGAGGTTTTGTAGGAAGGTGGAGTTCTTGTTGATCCTGCTCAGATGTTGTTCCTGTCTAGTAACTTGCCTTATTCCTCCCAATCAGCTGATCTTTATATTCTTCAGAGCAGAGTTCTTTTTTTCCCTATAATTATATTTTATTAATTTTCATAAACATTTACAGAGATTTTGGGTTTCCATTCATTCATTGTTGCACTAT